CGATCCGAGCGCCGCCGTGCGCCCCGGTACCGGGCACTGGGCCCGGCCAGGGATCCCCAAGGCCTCACGCGCCCCTAGCCCCCAGTGCGGCTTTTTAGGCCCCGTGGAGACGCGAACTCGGAGTCCTCGGGAGGTGCGGGGCAGGCCCTGGGAGCGGGGCCTGCAGGACTCGGTCGCCCCCCCACCCAGGGTCCCGAGATGGCGACCCTGGGCTCTGCGCTGCAAAGTGAATCTCCTGGCTTACTGTAAGGAGTCACATTTTTACTTGCTTCTGTTTAGACAGGTGAATTTATAAACTGGAGTAACCCACCTTTTAATTTTTTGTACCAATTTTCCCCCCAACATTAGTGGGGTGCGGGGTACACAGGTCCTTTGACATCTCTCCTCCCCATGTACATGATTTAATCCTAGTAATTTCTCCAAACTGACATTATTATTCCCGTTTTACAGATGAGGAAACTGAGGCCCCTATTTTAAATACTCTGCCCTGAGCCCCACAGCTAGCAGGCCCTGGAACCTGGGAGATGGGTTTGGGCAGAGGGGGAACCCAACCAACCCTACACCCACTGAAGCTTCTCCTTTCCTGGGTCCCTGCCCTAGAAAACGTCTGTGCTACTTGGCTGAGGTCAGCACTGCTTGAGCTGAGAAAGAAAAGTGGGAAAATGTGGCCAAGGGCCTCCTGGCTGTGTTAATTCAAGGCTGCAGCCTTAGGGGCTCATCGCTTGCACTCCCTGGGAGGCACCTGGCTGCAGTCCTCCTTCCCCTGGTTGCCGGGAATGGCACACAGAAAGGCCACTGAGAACCACGTGGGAGCCGGACACCCTCGGAGTGGTTCCATGAGCTAACTCTGTATCCTCACCACAAACCCCAAGTGGACACAGGACGGATATTTTCATGAGTTGCCCATTGTGCAGCCCCTTTTACCTTAATAGAGGCCAACACAGTCCAGAAAGGTTAAATGCCATTCCCCAGGTAACTCAGGTTATCTGGAAAGTCAGCTAGGCAGCTTGGGGTCAAATCTCCAGGGTACTACTTTGAATCTGATTTTTTTTTTTTCTTTTCTTTTTTTGGCAGAACCGAGGATTGAACTTGGATCCTTGCATTTGCCAGTCAAGCGCTCAACCTACTGAGCCATCTCCCCAGCCCCTAGGGTACTACTTTGTATTGCACCACCTTACTCTCTCAAAGCCTCAATTTTACTCCTCTGGAAAATGGAAATAATATTTAAGTAGTGAGATCAGGCAGTATATTGGGGCACCCTCTTGGACCCTGTGGAAACTGGAAACCTGGAGAACATGGAGCTCTCAAAGTTGGGAGACAAGTCGGTAAGCCTAGTTGGCCTCCTTCCAGATTGGGGACTCCCCTTTACAAGAAACCAAGCTCAGTGGCCATCTTGGGGTAGTCCCTGCCAGTGCCAACCACCATTGGGGGAACAATACTCCAGTATTGAGCCTGAGGCAGGAAGTGAGTCACGGTTCTTCCTCAGACTAAGAGCAAGAGAACCCCATTGAGGGGAAGCAGGGACAGGGCTGGCCCCGTCTGGCCCAGGCGTCTCACTTGTCCCCTGACCTAGAAAAAAGGTCAATCCCGGAAGAAAGCAGTGCTAGCTGCCCAGGACCCCACCCATCCCATCCCCGGGTCTGGCTCCAGGGCCGCTGCTGGGAGGGGTGGGGGGCAAGTGGGGACTCAAGCCTGCCACCCAGGCCCTAGAGACGCCACTTTTACTCCCGCCAGCTGGCTGCTCCATAGTGCCTTGCTGTAAAGGCAGAAGCCATCAGGCTGCTCAGAGGGAACTTCACCCAGACAGAGACCCTCCACTTGGTCCCGCTCACAAATGGAGTGTCACGTAACACTGTACTGTGCATCCAGGTGTGAGGCACAAACCTAAAAATCCCAGTACTCTGGAGGCTGAGGCAGGAGGATTGCTAATTCAAAGCTAGCTTCAGAAATTAAAGACAAGACTCTCTCTCTTCTCTCTCTCTCTCTCTCTCTCTCTCTCTCTCTCTCTCTCTCTCTCTCTAAAAACTTGGATGTTGCAACAGTTCTACTAAGAATTTCAATGCCACCATCTGAGACCCCTCCAAGGGAGAATCCCATCTAGGCAGGAAGGCCTTCTTTATCTCTAGGAAAAGTCCTGTGGGCAGGTATTGTTTTCTTTATCGCTCCCAGCCCACTGATCTGAGGCCTGAGGGAGCTGAGTTTGTGACTTAGGAGCCGTAGGTCCTCTGCGGTGGAGTGTTATCAGTCTTACACAGCAGTTAGGGATTTTTGTGCCTCGGGGAACCTGAAGCCAGGCCTGATGGGTATTGTGTGGGGGCAGGGAAGGGCTGTAAGGGCCACTCCTTGCTTGGCTGTGGAGCTCATCCTAAAGGCTCCTTAGTTACCACAGGCAACCTTAGTCCTAAAGCCACCCAGTCCCACCTTTCCCGTGGGGTCCTCAGGCGTCCTCACCTCAAGTCTCTTCCCCACCTTGGGTACCTGGAACAAAGGCTTCAACAGCAGTTGCCACACCTGGCTTTAATCAAAACGTACACAACGTCCACGCCTGCAGAGAAGGGTGCACACAATCTGTGACTGGTGCTTTTTTGAAAGAATGAATCTTGAAAGCCCTTTGTTTTCTTCTTTTTCTGCTTACCTGCATTTCCAGAACATCTACAAAAACTCCCACAACACAACAGCGAAGCTTTCAGGTCCTGCAGAGGTGTACAGAGCACATCCCCAGCTTGCCTGGCAGCCCCAGGACCCCTGGATCCATGCTGACCGAGGCTGCTCCCCTGCCCCCACTGGCTGCTGGAGTCACCGTCACGCTCTGGCCCAACACAAGGCAGGTCCCTTCCAGTTCTGGCTCAACGACTTTGGGAAAGCCTCCTTTATATGACGGGCACTGTGTCTGTGGGTGGGGGGAGGAGCTAGCTGCTAAAAGTGATTTGTTGGTGACATAATGGATTGTGTTGGGACCAGTTCCCAATGTGGCCAGCCCTTCTCATTTTCCTGCGTACTGGGTGGGGGTGTACTGGCCATAGCCCCTGACCCTGGCCCCAGTCACTTCTTGCTTGAATGGCTTCCTTTCGCCAGCTCTGTGTCTTCTACCTTAGCTGTGGACAGCCACAGCTGTCACAATCAGGCACTCAATAAATGCTTTGGGTGGAGTCTCATCTGTCTTTCAGGAGTACCTGCTGAATCCGACCTTCCCAAGGGCTTGTCCACAGGAAGCTGAGCCTGCCTCGTGTAGAGTTGGAAGGAGCCACCTGAGACTCCCAGAATCTTCTGAACATGTAATCTCTGTGACCTGCATCTCCAACAAGTCTGCTGCTCTTTCTGTCCTCAAAACAAAAACATGCTAGGCGTGGTGGCGCACATCTGTAATCCCAGCACTCTGGAGGCTGAGGCAGGAGAATCCTTATGAATTTGAGACCAGCCTGGGCTACAAAGTGAGTTCAAGGCCAGCCTGAACTGCATAACGAGACCCTGTTACAAAAAGACCAAAAAAAAAAAAAAAAAAACCAGAAAAGATTGCCACCAATGTAATTTCTTGTTGAGTTCTCCAGTAGTCATCCAGAACAGTTTCTCAACCTTGCTATGGCTGACATCTTGGAACATTTTGACCCCATTGTAGGAACTGTGCTGTGCATTGTAGGACATTCAGCCCCTTTCCTGGTCCCTAAACTAGATACCAAGAGCACCCCCACTCCCATGATAACAAGGCAAAGGTCTCTGATGGTTCCACGTCACTCCCCGTTGAGAACCACTGATCCGTAGTGACAAATGGAAATGTCACAGGGTGATGTGCCAGAGTTGAAGGAAGGTAGAAGTCTGTGGCTGGAAACAGCTCGGAGTCCGCGCGAAAGCCCCAGAAGGCCGCCTATGGCCATAAGACAGTGGGCCACAGGGTGTTCAGGCCAGTGATCACACGCATCCACACAACATCTGTGGGCAGCAATTTCAAGATGTCAGAGATCGGTCTTAACCAAGGATCGTGCTGTTTTCACTGCTAGGAGCTGGGGAAGTGGGGGAGACACTTTTGAATTAAGTAGTATTTAGACAGCAGGTTGGTGGTTGATGGCAGAGAGAAGACCGGGCGGGGGGGGCCGAGGAGCTTGGGCTGGTGGATGTGCTGTTCCTCATTTGTCGTGGGCACGCATCAAAACAAATCAAGGTGTGTGCGCTTTAAATGCGTGTGGTTTATAGTATGTCAATTATACTTCAATAAAGCTGCTTTAAAATCTATTTAACGGTTTAAAGTTTCGTTGCTTGAAGGGCATTGTTTTGAAAGTTCATTTGAATGGAGTAGCCACTTTCTCTGTCTCTTGCTTCTTTTTTTTTTTTGGTTTTCTGAGACAAGGTCTCTCCGTAGTTCAGGCTGGCCTTGAGTTCATGGTGATCTTCCTGCCTCAGCCTTGCAAGTGCTAGGATCACAGGCAGGCCCCACCATGCCCCGTTTTTGTTTTTTTGTTTGTTTGTTTGTTTGTTTGTTTGTTTTCCATTTCCTGATTGTCCTACACAAAAGAGAGATCATGGTACTTGATGTGGTGGCACACACTGGTAATCCCAGCTACTCAGCAGGCTGAAGCAGGAGAAGGGAAAGTCAGAGACCGTGATTCTAAGAAAATAAAGGGAAGCCGGGGCTGTAGCCCAGGGGTGAGCACTTGCCTAGCATGTGCAAGGCCCTGGGTTCCCCCCCTACACACACACACACACACACACACACACACACACACACACTGCAAAAGAAGCAAAGGGTAGAAAGAAAAATGGAAGGTGGGGAAGGAAAAAACAAACAGACAAAAAAACAGGTGCAAGGTTGACCCTAGAGGAGACGAAGACAGAACAGTGTCCCTGAGTGCAGCCAGCCTGTCCTCCACTCAGCAAAGCAGGAGAGAGTCTTTATGTTGGGTGATGCTATCAAACCAGCGTGTCTGGAACGGTATCATTAGTGCTGGCTGCCAGGAAAGGAACCAATGAGTCTGGAAATTACAGGCTCCTTCACTCACTGTAATCCTTAAAACAAACAAGCGCTGGGGAAAAAGTCAGTAAATACCTGGAAGAGGGTGGTGCGCTCCTCCGGGGCTGGGGACCTGAGTGTGCTTCCTGGAGCTGTGCCCTGTGCCGCCTGCTCATCAAGGGTTCCTCCTGCCCGAGGGGCTGTGCTTGGCAGGGAAAGATGCCCAGGATGCCCAGCAGGGAGGGCTGTGTGTGCTGAGCAGCAGCGCGGGGCCCTCACTGGGGTACAGATGTTTTGGGGTGATGGAGACTGCCAGGGTTCTGGGGAGCTCCCAGAGAGGCGGGGAGCAAGCTGGGGTATGATGGGAGTGAGCACAGATAGGCGGAAATTCAAACCTCTGTTTGGGGGAGGTGGGGGGTGCACCGGGTGCTCCCATCATTCTCATTCATGTCTCGGACACTGATTGAGCACTGACCGGATGCAGCACCTCTTCCTGTGCCCAGTTGTGGAGGGAGACCGGCAGCACATGCACCTTTGTAAGGGTGATGTGGGGTCTCCAGAGGGAGGGGAAGGGCCATGGGAAGAAGTGAGGTTCCTGTGGAAGTGATGGTCCGCACCTGTAACCCTGGCACTCTGGGAGGCTGAGCAGGAGGATTGTAAGTCTGATCCCCATCAGTCAAGAAGAGTCTGTGTCAAAATAGAATAACTTAGCTGGGCGTAGTGGCACACGACTGTAATCCCAGCACTCAGGAGGCTGAGAGAGGAGGATCATCGAGTTCAAGACCAGTCTGGGCTATAAGGTGAGCTCAAGGCCAGCCTGAACTGCATAGTGAGACCCTGTCTCAAAAAGACAACAAAACTAAAGAGGCCTCTGTCCACCCTGGGAAGGGACACGGGGTATGAGTTGGACCCCAGAGGCCACCCCCAACGTCACTCATCAGAGCTGGGACCATACCACCAGAAGTCACAATGTGGGCTCTGAGCAGACCGGAAGGACCATGGGATATACCTGCCTTCCTGGGAAGAGAGGGTCTCCACAGGACAGAAGCTGGGGGCAGCAGGCCTGGGGTTGCCTCTCCCTCTACCACACCCCCTGCAGGCATCTTTAGGAGACTGGATGGACCACTCTTTGGCTCTTTGACTCATCCCTGAGCACCCATTGGCTCATCACCAGCCACATGGGGCTGAACTTTTTATGGCAATTGCCTCACTTCTTGCTCCCTACAGCCCTTGGGGCAGGCACACTGCACTCTCACACCCACTTCCCAGATGGGAAGACTGACTCTTGCTCCAACCCTGTCAAGAACAGGAAGCCTCAGGAATGGAACAAGGGAGCCTGGGTGGAAACCCCCATGCCTCAACCTCTCTGCTGTCTCCCTCTCCACGAGGGCTGAGCAGGGCTGAATCAGACGTGGATCACTCAGGCATCCAGAGTGGGAGGCTTGCTGTGACTCACACTTGGCTTTTTCTTGGCCAAGGCTTGCTCACCTGGTTCTTAGAGTAGCATATGATGGTGGATTCTCTGTAACAACTGTACCAGTGATTCACTGCACTGCCCACCCTCCACACCTAACAGTAGGTTGTACAATGTGCTGGTGGCCAGGCCAGCCTTGGGTTCAAATTCAGCACCCAAGCGGTAGCACGCGCTGGTAAGGCCAGCCACTCTGGACACTGAGGCAGCAGGACCACAGGCTCAAGGCTAGCCTAGAACATTTAGTGAATGCCTCTCTCAGAAAATAAAAAGGCTATAGGAGGGCCTGGTGGTACACATCAGTCATTGCAGCACTCAGGAAGCTGAGGCATGAAGATTGCCACATATCTGAGTATCTGAGGCCAGCCTGGGCTACACAGGGAGTTCGAGGTCAGTCTGAACGACATACATAGTGAGACCCTGTCAAAACAGATTTAAAAATAAAGGCTGAAAAAAAACAAAACAAAAAAAGAAGAATAGCAATAACAAAAAGCTGCAGCTGGCCAGCCAAATAGCTTAGCGCAGAGGCCATGGGTGCAAATCCTGGGCCCTTCCCAGGGCTGGCCCCACCCCCAGGGCACACAGAGACAGCAATTGAGACTGGGTGTGGTGGTACCTGTAATCCCAGTTCTTGGGAGGCTGTAAACAGGTGGATCACTACGAGTCCAATCTAGTAGTGAGACCCTGAACACCCTGTAGACCCTTCCCTAAAATACAAAAAAAAAAATCTGCAGCTAAAAATCAAATTCAGTTCTGAGGTGCTCTGGAAGAGCCCTGGGAAGATTACTTAACCTCTCAGGGGCCTCATGTAAACATCAGGCTGCGATCCTGGGGTGGTGACTAGGTTAGGCTCCTTCTCTCCGCAGGCCTGGGAGACAGCTCTGACCCTTCGACCTGGGCCCACACCTGGCTCTCTGGGTGAACTCCGCCTCACCGTGGCTAACTTCCTGGGCAGGAGGCCACCTGGCCCCACGCATGGCCAGTCCACACTCAGGCAGCTTTGGTGTGGCCCAGTGCCTAGCTGCTCATTTTGCAAGCTGCCTGTTCTTTGGCTCCTTGCCCCAAGGTTGGAGGTGAGGCAACAAACAGTTCTCTGAGGCAGAACTTTTATCTTGTTCCCTGTCAGGACACGTGGACAATCCAGGGCAAGGCGACCTCTCTGGCTATGGCCAAGCTGAGCTGGGGTACCTGCTTGGGGTGAAGAAGGGGTTATAGAGCCCATCTCAAGAGCATAGGTGGTCACACGGGAGACAGTGGCTCCCAGGCCTCCTTCCCTGTGTCTGCTAAGCTCCTGCCTGCCCTGGGGCCACCCAGG